AAAAAAAATAATTTATCAGGAAGCACGCGAGTGCCATTCGATGACAATCTCCACGACGAAAACAAGCTTAAACAACGGTGTAGTTGAACAGTGCACACTCGGTAAGTAATCCTACAATTTTTTGTTTATAGCATAGTTTATATGGATTATTCCCAAAAATTATACGTATTTTGGAAATGTTGAGTCGAATTAGTCTAGAATCGATTAATTTTATGGAAGAAACCTTTCAAACAGCCATAGTCTGTAAACTGCATACGTGCCGGGCTGTGATTGGCTGGACTCTTAGAAGCTGGATTCATAAACAGAGGAACATATCTATTGTGTTATAGGGGGGTCGACTGTAATTCTGTGTTCATGTTGTTTGGAAATTTTTGAAAAAGTTTAAGACTGAGGAATCATCATAAGTATGAAATTTTCTAATAGTAAAAAAGAAGACATCTAAACTGTGAGATGATAAATAAATAAATAAAGACCTACTTTTGTAATAGACTGCAAGAATATAAAAGTGACATTGTCAGATTCAAAGTTTATATTAAAAATTAAATATATATTTATAAAAATAAATACAAAAAAATGAATAATATATTTTGTAGAAAATAATTTAAGCATCAGTTTTAGTAACTGTCATGAATTTTTAAAAATTAAGTTATTGTTTGTTGTTTGAAAATTGATTTATGTGAAATTTTTCCATTTTTCTTATAACCAAATTAATAACATAGAATAATATAAATACTATAAAACATACAGCAATTCTTATTTTTTATTGATTTTGGTATAAATTTATTAAAAGGATATATTATCATTCATTCTTAATAGCTTAAAGTTGATATAAATATTTGTTACATTGCAAATTTAAATTAATTAATTTTGTAAGATTTTTCAAAAATATTTGTATTTAAATTTGTTCTTTTCTGTGTGTATGCTTCTTTTGGAGCTTGATAAAAATTATGTGAAAACATTGCAAGATTTTTAATTAAAGTTTTTATTCTAGTAATATTGATATAAATGGTTTCTTTTTACAGACTAATTATTGTAACAATATGAATATAAAAACAGAGTTCAATGTACCAAATGTTGTTTTATTAATAAAAACATTGTCTGAAGAAAGTTTAATAACAAGCAGAATTATATATTCTATAGAATAAAAATCAAAGAATCCTTTATTGAATGTAAAATTTTTAAAATTTGAAATGCCAAATATAAAAAATTAAAATTAAACTTGACATTGACTGTAAACATACTCTATATTTAAGTGTTAAAAATTTAATTTATAATAATGATGAAATTTATTAAATAAATGATTTATAATATGTTTTTAATTTCCAGATAATTAAATTGTATGATTCTATAAATGATTTAAATTTGGAACAATGCATGCATTTTGAGTAAAATAAAACTTTAGCTGATAAAAGCTAATTAAACACAATGAAACAGAATAAAAAAGTTTTTAATAATGAAAAGAAGTTGTATAAAGTATCTTTTTGTAAATCTATGATTCTATGAAGTATCTGTTATAATCAAAATTATTTCCTATTTCCTGAAATATTGAAGGAATAAGGATGGTTTCCATTGGTTACCACAAATTTAGTTAGTTCAGAAAAGTTATAAAATACATCAGTAAGTCAATTTATTTATATTGTATAAAAAATAGTATAAATTAATCTGCTCCCATTTTTAATTACTGGTTGCAAGAGATCTTTAACTACAATGAGATCATTGCTTATTTATATATTATTTTAAAATTTACATGGATGCTATTCACATATTGTATTGCAACAACCCAGTAAGATTTCAAATTATTTGCTAAATGTGTATAAATAAACTGCATATTATATGTTCTTAGCTATTATAAAATTATATCTAATTACAGCATCTTCATTATATTTTTATAGAAATATCAAGTATTTAGACTAACTAAATAGTCGACCTTCTATAACACTGTTGATTTTTCCATTTTATATGAATTCCATGTTGTACGAGTCACTTAGATTTTACAAATACGTGTGCCAGGCTGTGAACGGTTCACGTATTTGTAAAATCTAAGTGACTTGTACAACATGGAATTCATATAAAACGGAAAAATCAACAGTGTTATAGGGGGTCAACTGTATATCATTTATAATTTTAATATGGTTCTTATTTGTAATTTTTTTGTCCGATGGTTCTTTTTATTTAAAAAAAAAATGGTTCTTATTTATTTTGTGATACTTAAAAATTTTCTTTTCTTAGTTATTTTCTATTGTATTTTGAAATATTGCAATTATCATTTTATAAAATAATATAATTTATAGTAAAAAATTATTTTAAAATAGATTACTAAATAAACAAATTTTATTTAGTTTTTTTTTTTTATTTTACTTAAACTGTGATAGTTTATAGTCATCTAATTAAAAATAGTTTTTCTTATATAGTAGCTATCTTGCTTATATAAATATTTATAAATACTTTTCAGAAAATGAAAAATTAAACTAATTTGAAAGTATTGAATTTGTAAAATGGCGTACATCACCTTAATGTTATCAATAGGTCTATTTTTCAGCTGGAACAATACTGGTGTGTTGTACCAACAGTTAACGTTAACAAGTATTTGTAATTGGTATGTAATACAGACAATTACTCAATAAAAACAATTCTATGTGTTCAGTCACTATATATGTGTACTAGCAGTAATATTTTAGAAAAAAAAGCATTGGTTATTTGTAAACATGAATTAATTTTTCAGGAGTGAGATGAATGGATAAGACAGAAACATCACATCAAAGTACAAACTTATATATTTCATTTGAATGTTTTTGATGTTACATGAAAGAAATATATTAATATAGAAGAAATTAAATTTTAAAAATATTCATTTATATACTGTTATATAATAACTTCTAAATTGTTGTTTGTTCCAAAAACTGTAAGGCCAAGACTCCATAAAAAATGAGCATACAATCATAAAAACAAGTGTAAAAAACACTTGCTGTAATTATTTTTAGTCACATGATCTGTTTGCACTTGTATTGCAGTGGAGGTCCTGCTCCACTATCAAAGTTTCTACAATGGTACTGCTACCAGTTTTGAAATAAATGCTTTTTTCACACATAAATTGATAGAAATAAACCATCATAGCTTGGTTGTTCATAACTAATGTTAAAACTAATCAAAAAATTTCACAAATACCAAAATATTGAGAGCAAGAGATAGAATATAGTGCATGTGCACAAAAGCTTGTCTTTTGAAATTTTCACATAATGTCGTGACAGTGTGGGATCACTTTGATGCTCATGGCAGGTTTCATTCTCGTTCGCATTCTTCAATCTTCTTTGGTATCACTAGTTTTGAGTGCAATCATTCAAACTTCATCGGCCATGGCCATTGTCAAAATTTCTCTCTGTTGTGTGTTGCCCCGGGTTGAATTTTTGTCGATGCCTAATGAAAATTTCCCATTTTGAAAAAAATAATTGTGGCTATTGTATCATCCAAAATTATTTTTNTAGTTTTGAGTGCAATCATTCAAACTTCATCGGCCATGGCCATTGTCAAAATTTCTCTCTGTTGTGTGTTGCCCCGGGTTGAATTTTTGTCGATGTAAAACCTAATGAAAATTACACAATTTTGAAAAAAATAATTGTGGCTATTGTATCATCCAAAATTATTTTTTTATTTTGCACAAACAAAATAAATATATTAATAAATGTAAAAACAAAAAAAATTATATTTTGGAAGTTAGTTTTAATATAAAATTATAATGACCAGCGCCATCTAGTTTCAAAAACATTTCGATGCTGAAACGAGATATCTTGGGTAATCTGGTCAAGGTCAGCAGGTTGCAACCAGAGATATGTTGGGAATAACACAGGACAGGTAAATGGGTTTTTTCAAAGATTCATTTGTCAACATTTGATTTTGTAACGTTTGCATTTCCAACTTCCCAATGAGCAATGGATGAGCAAATCTCACACTAGCACCTGTTTGTAGAAAGAGTGTCGCCATTTTGTATTTTGACTCAGTTCTTGGTCCCCTGAGCATCTACAAGTCTGGGTTTTTTTTGTATGTGCATGATTTGGGCACCAAATACTTGTGACAAATTGCAACTCCCGGCATGTACTCTTTTATACCTCTAAGGTGATAAGCCGTTGATAGCACTGCAATTTTATAAACAAGACAGTCTTTTCAAAAATAAATATTCATATTTTAATAAAAAAATTAAAATATGAAAAATTGTTTTGTCACACCAGATTTTTATCAGATAAAAATTTAAGATCAGTATCTTTTGGCATTAATAAAGTTTTGACAAGTAAAGCACAGCGATCTTAAACTCTTATCTGAAAAGTTAAAATATTTAGTATTTTAAACAATGATCCATTTTGAGAAAAATGCAAAATAATTAACAATAATATTTAAAAAATTTTTATTAAATAATTTTTTAATTAAATATATACTATTTAATACATTCAAACTTTTAAAATTCAAAATTTAAAGTAAATACTACAAAATTCAAATTTTAATAAAGTTTGCTAAATCACTTTTATGATGATTAAAACTCTGCATTTGTTAATGTTACATTTATGCTGGTTTAGTGTATATAATAAATATTTCAACTTCTTTATTAAAGTATGAATTTTTTAAAGGTTTTTAAGAGATTAAAAGATTAATTTTAATGTTTTAAAGTTAGAAGCGATGTGTTTTAATTATTGAATATGACAATTTAGCTCTTTTTAATGAAATTATTTTGATGATGATTTTTTTAATTTGAGACCATTAAGCAATTACATTTTTGTATGATCTCCAGTATAGTAAGAAACTACTAAATAATTGTATTTGTAATTTCAGAATATTTTTTAGAATTTCAGTCAGCAGATATGCAGCTATTTATATGCTAGAAGTGATGTCACATTTTAAGAAATGCATTATTTTTGAATTTAATTGTACAAAACAGAAAAAAATTCTTTGGCATTTTAATTTTATCTCTGCATCTGGAGTTCCTTATCATTTAAAGAAAAGACTTTTTTTTGTTTTTTCCTGTAGATCCTAAGAATGGTAAAAGATTTCTGAAGATAATAAATAAATAAATAATCATTTCTTGCAAATTATTGGATATTTCTTGATTTTAATTTTGTATTGATAAAAATGGAGTAATTTTCTTGGAGATTTTGAGTTATCTTATAATAAACTGATTAGATTGCAAAACTCATAAACTGAAATTATATTAGTTTGTAGAAGCAACAATACTTTTATACAGCAAGATTGTTTAATGAAACAAATATTTTTATTTGTTTGATAAGTTCTCCCTGTAATTTTATGTGAATATGACTTGGTAAACTAGTTGAAAACATTTGTATCATTAAACAGTTTTGCTGATTAAAGACATTATTGTTTATACAAACTTTAGTTGATTATATTTAATAAAGTAAGATAAACTTCTGAATTTAAAAAATCATAAAGGATTTAAAATAATATTTACAATATTAAATACTTTTGGGTTTTAGTTGCAAGATGATGAAATAGCTGGACAGAATGAATTTATTAAGCAATATCTTGCTGGACAACAAAAGATATATGAAAAACAAAAAGAAGCAAGAAGACTTGTTGAATTGGGTAAATCACATTAGTTATACTTTTTTTATAAGATATACAAGGGTCACTCCTAAAGTTATATAATTATTTTTCTGTATAAATTTTATAAGATGATTTTCACCATAGTTAATAAGTTATATGTTATTGCATATTATTGCATATTTGCAATAACAAATGAGAATTTGTTATTGCATATTGGTTCGATTATAGAACGATTGTAAACATTCCAGAAAATTGATCAAATTGAAAACAGTTTGTTTGATTCTCGGCAATTCTCATCATTCTCAGTGTTAGGTGTTATATAACAATTACTATGGTTATTGAAATACTGAATATAAATGGGGTTTTCTTACAAAATCCTTGCAGGCAAAGCTGTGGGTAACAGCTAGTCAGCTTATAAAGAATGCAAACAAATGTGTAAAATATAATTTAAAATTGATTTATTAAAATATAAAATAAAAATAGANCGGGAGGACTTTCTATGAGAAATTGACTCCCATTTAGATGTTAGACAGGCGAACTAAACCCCGAAAACTTTACTGGCCAGCCCGTTGGCGAAGCGCCAACTGCCACCGTCTGACAAGCTTCGAGTTCTTAGATTCTTTCCAGTTTGTAAGCACTAACGGGGAGTCGCTTTTACGTACTCGTCGCGGGCTCGACTAAGCGCGCATAGAGTGGTTTGGTGGGAAGGGTCAGAGTTCGACGTATCCAATAATCCGCTCATAAAACGTTTTGAGCCGACAAGGATTTGGAACGAGTTCTCTAGAACACAAGGTTGACGTCTTTATCTCTTTACTCGTCCGGTACACGAAATATTAAAATTTCAATGCCATGTTTACCATCTAAAAGAACGTGTAGAAGCATTTGAAAAATGATCCTTTGTATAGACGTAAACAAAATTATAAATCAGAGTGAGAGTTACAAATGAAGGCGATATTCTTACTTGATTTGAACAGAGAAATTGCATTATTAAAAATTCGTAGTCAGGAGAAATTTTTGAAATTTATTTCTAGTTTCGGAAGAGCATAAAATAGAAAGACAGAATTCGATAAATACAGTATATCAGACTGTTCTAATAATAAAGCTACATGTTTTCAATGTAAACAGCGCAGAGACGACAGATTTGTCATGGAAGAAAATCACTAAAATACTAATTCTCTTTACGCTAGAGTGACTTTCTTCGACTACAATTAAACTCTCTAATGAAAATTCTTATTTCCCGATTTTAATTCTTTGCCTGGTAGAAAAAACACGAAAGAAGAATAATCTTCTGTTTTAATTAATGATACTATGTTAACTTATTAGTCCGATAGATCGTTAGTTATGTCGTCGCTGGCGAGATATTGAAATCAATTAGCATTTGATGTATCTTGTAAAGTCACGAAGTAATTAAAGTCAGATCGTGGTCTTATTTTAGAGTGGAGGAGAGCGTATTCGGCTTCTCCTCCACTCCTCCACTCTATTTTAGGCCCGATCGACACCGCAATTTGTTTGCAAAAGGCCCATTGTGATATGGCCTACAGGACGGAGAAAGGGGAAAATGCCAATTAATTTTATTAAACGTTTAAAAATTAACATTAAGACATTTTTCCTGATTGTATTCATACATAATACAATGATTTATTATAAACTGTAATGTTTTATTGTTCATTAATATAATGACTTCTTAAGGAAGAACAAATGCAGTTTTTCTATGTTAACGTCTGACTGGTGACAAGAATAACTAGCAATGTACTTGTCATTGAGTAAATAATAGTTGAGAATAAGATACGAGGGTCGTCCCAGAAGTGCCCAACCTGACATAGATGGCGGTACTTGTTTGAAAAAAAATGACTGTGTTCGAAAGTATGAACCTTATAAAGCTTAAGTTTAAAGTTTGAAGACGTTACATTGTATAGTATTTTTTTGGCAGCCATAAATAGTGAACAATCTCAGTGAATTTGTAAACATGGAAAAAATTTGTCATCGTTATGTGATATAATACTTTCATTTGAAAGGTTTCAGTCCAACCAATATTAAAGCTGAGCTAGATTCTACTCTGGGGGAGTCTGCTCCCTTGTTTACAACAATAAAATATTGGGTGGCAGAGTTTAAGCGAGGCCGTACGAGCTGCCAAGACGAACATTGTAGTGGTCAACCAAGTGAAGTTACCATGCCAGAAATAGTGGAAAAAATCCACAAAATGGTATTGGATGACAGTCAACTCGAAGTGCGAGAGCTAGCAGACATGATAGGAATTTCAAAAAGTGCTGTACATTGCATTTTAACTGAAAATTTGGACATGAGAAAGCTGTGTGCAAGATGGGTGCCGCGTTTGCTCACAATGGGACAAAAACAGTGTCGTCAGGATGTTTCAATCGAGTCTTTGGCAATGTTTCGCAGCAACAAAGCCGAGTTTTTGCGTCAATTCATAACCATGGATGAAACATGGGTCCATCACTTCACACCTGAGACGAAAGAACAGTTGAAACAATGGACTGAAAGGGGAGAATCAGCTCCAAAGAAGGCGAAAACAGTTCCATCTGCTGGCAAGGTCATGGCGTCAGTTTTTTTGGGATGCGCTCAGGAAAAACAATCAACGGCAAGTATTATGCGAATTTATTGCAGTGCTTGAGTGATGAAATCAAGGAAAATTGCCACATTTGGCAAAAAAGAAAGTGTTGTTTCATCAAGACAACGCACCAGTTCACACATCCATTACTGCGATGGCCAAAATCAATGAGTTAAGGTTCAAATTGCTTCCTCACACACCCTATTCACCAGATTTAGCCCCCTCGGATTATTTTCTCTTTCCAAACTTAAAAAAATGGCTTGGTGATAAAAGATTTGCCAACAATGAAGAGGTGGAGTCTGCGGTTGACGGCTATTTTGAGAAGCTCAACAGTTCTCACTATAAACAGAGGATCGAAGCTATTGTACTGTACATTGCTGGAAAAAGTGTATTGCACTAAAAGGAGACTATGTTGAAAAATAAAGATATGTTTTACCAAATTTTTTGTGTCTACTTTGTTAGGTTGGGTACTTCTGGGACTACCCTCGTAATCTAAACTATCTACAATTGATTGTTGAAATTGTATAAGTACTGTACAGTAGAATCTCATTTTAATGGATCATGGAACAGTGGATTTCTCTGAATAACAGATTTCTTCCAGGTCCCACCAAAAATCTAATTTTACCTCCTTTTAGTGGATCTGATACTTGGAATAATGGATTTTTTCTGGATGCAGTTGTTACATTTAAGTTATCTACAATTGAAGAATTGTACAGAGACACCAACTGATACAATTGAGAAGGAGCACCTAATGAATTGTAGTCTAATTGCTGGTCTAATTGTAGTGCCAAAATTTTGCGAGGCCATTGAGTATTTCTAAGTTATGAAGACCTCTCTGACAAGTTTCAGCATAAATGAACAAGCTGTACTATGCATGACATTGCTAATATCAAACAGTTGTTATATTCAATAGACAGAAAAGCAACATTGAAAGAAACCAAGATGGACATATTTTTTTAACAAATCATGAATTCACGCAAAGTGCTAATGAGCATATGTGATTTGCCTCTTTTTGTGCTTGCAGTATGTACAATTTTCGTCAGCTTTGTTGTACACATGTATGGCATAATATATAATCATATACGGCATACTATACATATATTACAAACTTACATGTTTCTATAGAATAAAGAATACAGATCTCAAGTACTGGTATTTCTTATATATAGGGGTTAAAAACGGAAATTTTTTTCAAATGGATATTTTCCTGGGTGTGCAGGAAATCTGTTGTTTGTGATATAACAGATTCTTGGAACAATGGATGATTTTTGGCAGCCTGAGCAATCTGTTAAAATCAGATCCTTCTGTATATGGATGATTGTGAAAGAAATCGCAATTAGCATTGCAACATAATTGACTGCTGACCTAAATTGTCACTTTGGAAAATGAATACAGTGGAGAGTTGCTTATCTGAAATATTCAGGCTGGAACAACTTTGGATAACTAATCACACTTGGTTGAGAAAGACTACAATGATAAATTTCTTAAATACAGTAAAATTTTAATTGTAATGCAATAGTAAAAAAAAGTTAAGGCATAGAAATTTAACACATACGAATGATAAGAAATAATGTAAGAAAAAAGTCTAATTTATTAAAAACAAGCACTGCTCTTTCATTGCAATATACAATGTATTGATAAAACTTTGAATTCAAGGTAAAAAATACATAATAGTAATTTTAAGTAAAGTACAGTACTCATGTAAAAATTATTTTACATTTTTTTTTAAGAAACCAGTTACTTGCTGTTTTACATAGTTTTTTTTTCTAACTTTGCTAAATCCCTGGCTTGTTTGAAGGTTTGTCATGAGAATTGAAAAATTGCTTTGAATTACATTTCTAACCATGTCAATGCTAATGCTAATGCTTCATATTAATTATGCTTTTCTGTTTGTAGTGTAATAAATAAAATTTAACACTTAAAAAAGATATATAAATATATTAAAAGTTGATAAAAAGATATAAGTATATTAAACAACCCAAAGCCAAATATATAAAGATACATAGCCAAATGATTGCCTTAAATACTTAGGTTATAAATCCATTAATTTTAATAATTATTACTAAGTAATTTGCTACTACAGGTAGACATTAGGTGCCATCTCTTATCTAAACTAATAAATATAATTTTAAATAATTTATTAAACAATTTAGAATCATCTGGAAGATAAAAACTGGCCCAGGACTTGAACTCAAAACATCCACTTACTGTGCACTGCACTTAACAGTTGTGCCACTCGAACCCCAAGCAAGCCTTTGCCTCCAGATGTATTTAAATTTAGATATAACCTTACGCAGTTAATCATGGTGCCAACTGGGGATGACTCCTACAGCCTAAGTACATCTCCACAATAGCACTCAGCTAGCTAACATTTACCCAGCAAGGTATATATAAACGATCACCTTAAACAAGATTGATTACATAAGATTATATCTGAATTTAAACATGTCTGGAGGCAAAGGTTTGCTTG